TACTCATATTTCTGATAATAACAATTATTTGGTTTATTGTCCACCAATGAATCCATGAAACATTATATCGTAATAATAATTATTCACATATATCAATTTAATTTTAATTGCTTTTTTTTGAAAATTGAACACTAGTCAAAATTTGAACCAATAATAAATTTAAAAAATATATCTATATCAACATTTGATTTATAAATGTTCAATAAACATAAAACCATACAAATAGTTTACTCAATTTATTATCTCAAATTTTATGCCATGATTTAATAATAAAACTAATTTTGTAGCCAAATCTTATTTTCTGCATATATTCTCTACTTGTATTTAATTTCTCATGGTAAACTCCTTTACCCATTTCTGATTATATTCATAGAAACCATGGAATAATTTACCTATTCTATATATAACTAAGATATGACAATTAAACAATCAATCATTCCATTATAATCCAATTTAATTAGTTACTTGATAACAAGTGATAATTTTTTTTGTCATAAATCAATTCATGTCTTTCTCTTTTATGTTTTCAAGCTATTTTTCATCCCAATCTTTATAAGCATCGATTTTTCAAGTAAATATAATACAATTCATTAAATCTAATTGTAGAATCAAATTCATAATATGCATAAACTTATGCAATGTAATTAATATTTTATCTATTGTATTGTAACTTTATACACTAATAAAATAAATTGTTAACGTGTTTATCTTATTCAGTCAATCTTTTTACCGTAATTATGCAAAAAACAAAATACATACTGTTAATAAAGATCTTTATGAAAATTAACATTTTGGTCCATAAAAATATTAATCCTTTGACACATTGAGCCTTCTCTAATATTGATCTCCAAATTATGTCAATTTCTTTTTCTTGTATCTTTCTCATGCAAAATATAAATTTTTCATAATTATTTTTAAATTGTTAGAAAAAATAAATAAGAGAAAAGAAATAATAGAAAAGAATTTTAGCTTTGAGACATGAAGAACACTTTCTTTAAGATAATTATACTTTTAAGATACAACAAAACCTCAAACTCTCTAATTAGAAGCAATAAAAATTATTATATTGAAAGATTTATTTATAATGAATGAATATATATAAATTTTTATTCAGATTATTATAATTTTTTGTATAATCATAATTTTTATGAATAATAATTTATTTATATTTAAATAATTATTATTTATCATATAATAATTATTTTTATTTAAATATAATTATTTAAAATATAAATAAAATTAATATATTAATAATTAAATCTTTTTATTCGATATAAACTATCGTATTTTAAACTATCTACATTAATTACTTTTAAGATTTGCTTTTGAAATTGGTTTCTGTTATGCAATAATAGAAGGAGACCCATTGGCTGTTTTGAAAAGACTGCAATTGACTGAAGTGGACCTGTCACCTATGGGACTACTCACTGGAGAGGCAAAGGACATAAGTGGATGCTTTACCAGCTACGATTTTATGCACATAGGGAGAGCAGGAAACAATGTAGCTCACGGATTAGCGAAACATACATTAAATTGTAACCAGGACACGTACTGGATTGAAGAGCCACCTCTCTTCTTATGTAGTGCCTTACAGGTTGATATCACTATTGCAACTGAATGAATGGAATACCTTTCTTCGTCAAAAAAAAAAAAAAAAAAAACCCAAAGTTCAATTTTTGTGAAAAATATTTTTAAAATAAAACTTTACATTAACTTAATATAAGGAAAAACACCCTTAAAATAGTTCGAAAATATGATCAAACTCGTATAAACTCTAAATATATCTTTAATTGTATTGTACAAAAAGAAATTTGGATCCCTTTGTATGTGGGCACCTTTTTAATTTATTATGTTAATTCACGTATTTGATATCTAAACTATAATTAAATTCTTAATTTGATATTTAAAGTTTAAAATGTTACAACTTGATCCTCAAAACTTTGCTTAGTTCATTAATTTTTCAAATAGGTGATGTCTCTAAAACATTCAATAAAATTATGATACGTAGATGTGACATTTTTAAAACATAGCACTTCCTTTTATTGATTGTTTTTGTGAAACGTCATTCATTTATTAATTAAATCTAATTTTTATAAACAACTAAGATTTATCAATAATAATGATTTGAAGGGTCAATTATGGTATAGTAATATATGATCAGGATGGAATATAACTTTGTACGACAAAATTTAAAGTTTAATGTGATATTCTGTCATATATTAAGGGTTGGTATAGATATTTAAGTTACATTTATTATGGTGTTTAAGATTTTGTCTAATGTTGGACGGTCAAGTTTTGTCTTTTAAAGTAATTAAGGGGATTTTGGTAAGTAGGTATCCTGCATTATCTGACGTGATTAAGTAAAATTAATGGATTTTATAATTGGGTTGGGTAGTAAAATTACTATCCATCATGAGTTCTGGTAGTGCTTTTAAAGGTATTCACTATCCAAACCTAATTATAAATAATAAAATTTTAATATTATATATTTTTTATTTATAAATTATTTATTATTAATGTAATATTTAACTAAATTAATTTATTAAGTGTTCTAATTATGATTTTAATTTTAATTTATTTTTATTAGCTAACTGTCATTTATTAATTTATTTTTTTAATAATATTCTTTATGATAAATTTTAAATTTCGATTTAAAACTCAAACTTTGACTTAATAAATGAGTATTTATATCAATTAAATGTAAATAAATTAACACTAACTAAAGTGAGATAAAAATATTTTATTAAATAAAAAAATGTGATAAATTTTAAATTTCGATTTAAAACTCAAACTTTAACTTAATAAATTAGTATTTATATCAATTAAATGCAGATAAATCGACACTAACTAAAGTCAGATAAAAATATTTTATTAAATAAAAACAAAAATAAAATGTTGCATACAAATATGCATTTAATCAAATGCAATAAATACCAATCAACTATTAATTTTGTGATAATAAAGAATGAGATATATTTATTTTTATTAATTATAATGTAAATATTAAAATTGGTTTTAATTTTTATGCTTATATGTTATTTCAATAAATTATATATTTTATTAAAAATATTTTATTTCATACTATTATTTTATAATTTCAAACAAGAAATTAATGAAATAAAAAATATAGTAATTAAATTAAATATAACATAATTAAATAATATATTTGAAATATTTATTTATTTTATACATAGTATACTTATTTTATAAGAAATGACATAATGCATATATTCACCCTAGACTTTATTTTTGTTAAATATATTTTTTTACAGACAATTCAAAACTAACTCTTTAAAAAAGGCATATGTATACTTATAATTAAATAAAATATTTAAGTACTAATTTCATCTTTTATAGTATATTTCATTTTGTTAACTCTTGAAAAGTTTAATTAATTATATCAATTAAAAATATGTAAAAATATTTTTAAAAATAGAAAACATTTAAATAAAAAATTTTGTCCCACAAGGGCAAAATTTCTTGTTTATATAAAAACGCCTTAACAAATTGATAAACCTTACTTCAGCAGTAGGAACTCATTTCGTCGATATGCATTGTAGGAAAGAGATATGTGTAGGTGGATATGGTTTTCTATTTATTAATATCCCTATGCCTTTGATAGCGTGGGCCAAAAAAGGTGTTATATATGTTTTATATATGAAATTCTAGTAAGTGAAGATTTATTCAATAAAAAAATATAAGTAAAGGTTTATTAATTATTTTATAAAAATAATTTTAGTTTTCTAATTTCTATCATGTACTTTAATAATTATTGCAATGAAAAATCCAATGAATAGTTATGGGTGTCTATAGACACTCCTTAATTATTTTTAAATTTAATGTATTATTTTTACTAAATTTAATAATAAAACATGCATTAATTAGATATTTCTTTTCTTAACAAGTATCATTAGACGTGATTAACGTTTTTCTTTCTTAAATTAATGTAAATAAATCTTAAAAATAAAAAAATAATACTAAAAAATTTTAATATCAAAATAAAAAAAGAGAGAAAAATAATACTCATATTCATATATGCAACAATAGTTAGCGTAGAAGTTTTGAAAGATTTTGATTAATAGATTGGTAGCATAGGCGGACAATGAGGTGTTCATAGATATTCCTAATGTTTGAAAATAAAAAAAATTTTTAAAAAAATTTGAATATCTTCATAAAATTTTTTAAAATATTTTTTACCTACAAAATTGATAAATTTATTAATAATTATATATATATATGCATATATATTATATATAATAAGTGAATAACTTAAAAAAAAAACATAAATCCTTCGCTGATTGGTAGAGCCTTTACATTCTTAACGAAATCGAAGAGTTGGAACTATAGGAGTAAATTGTGCATGCAAGTTGCAAATCTCAACCATGAAAAATGAAAAGGTGACAACTTTGGTTTTTAATTACGACAGATGTACAGTTACTTTGTTACTGTTTCCAAAGGGATATTACTGCAATAGCAAGAATACTCGAACCCCTTCTTCAGTCCGACAAAAACGGTTTTTTTTTTTTTTTTTTTTATTTTTTGTGTGTTGGGCAAAACGAGAGGATAAAATGCTTCGTTAACCGTTTAGGTATATGTAAAATTAATTAATATATCTTATCATTAATTTAATTTAATATGTATTGTATTAATATATTTAAAGTTTTAATTTAAGATATTAACTTAATTATAAATTATGAAAAATAAAAATAAGTTTGTATTAAATTTTCTATACAAGTTATACTAAACTAATAAAAAAAATAGGTTGGGTAAGGGTATAAATATTCTTGTTAGGGGTATTTGATGAGTAAAAGAGCATAATAATTTTTTTCTCTTAAAAGTTTTTAATAGAGAAACAGAGGTATTTTTATCTTTTACGTCAATTTGACTTATCAAATCAATATGACATGCTCAATGCCACATCAGTTTCGCATTACCCTTATTGTCCCTTAATGATCATTTATTGCTCATCTATAAATATAAAGGTCCAAACACCACTTAAATAGATTGATTCCAGACCCATATCCCCCTTTCTATTTCCTTTTTTATTTCATTCTATCTAACTTGCACATTAAAATGCAAACGCAAGAAACACATCATGCCTTTACCTTTTACTACCCTTCTTTATTGTTTTTCAAAAATGTCCTAAGGTCGGAACTTGACACAAATATTTGACCCACCATGTAAGGGGCCATTTTCTACTCATTAATGGCATATTCATTAAATGGCCTAAATAGCCATTCATGACTTCCCCCAGAATGGTTATTCAATGCACACCAGGAATAGCGAAAAATATTTTTATTCCTAAAACACCCTTTAATAATTTATGAAATCACAACTTTAACCTTTAACATATACAAAACCCTACCCTAGCCACCATCTAGTCCATTTTCCAATGACATTTCGACACCATCCAAACATGTACTACCAAAGTTGGTCACTTAAACACTAGATCTTGAGCCAAAGTCCAAAATCAAATTATTGAAGCACGATTTCAAAGCACAATTGCAGCCAAATCTGGTCAGATTAAAGATTTGGTTCTTGCGTCGATAGCTTCTTGTTGCCACCATTGAAGCTGCCCAAAAACAACCAAATGTGGTGTAAGAGCAGCAATAGTGACTAACCCATGAAGCAAACGAAGGAAGAAAGAGGGAAAAAGAAGCAAAAGTGATCAAGGAGAGAGGAGAAAATGCACCGGCGACCAAGTGTTGTTGAAACATTGAAGTAGCAAGCTGGTGATAAGATTAGTTTGCAGCAATAGCATGACCAACAATGCCCATTACGATGGCTAGAGAGAAGAAAGGAAGAGAATAAAAAATAATAAACGAAAAAAGAAGAAAAGAGTAAACCAAAATTAAAGAAAAAAAGTTATGTTGCATTTTTCAAAGATATTACTATGAATTTAATGTTTGAATTTTAATTTTTATTGAAAAGTAAAATTGATATTTTGTAAAAAATTTAAAATATGTTTATTAAAATTTTTAATCAAAATACAATTATTTATGTTGAAGGGTAAAATAGTTATTTTATACTTATTCCTTATATATTCTTTCCCATAATTCTACCAAACCAAACAACTTAAATCATATTCCACTTATTCCATTCAATGAACCATGTAATAATCATTTCCTCTCTCTTCAATTCCTAAAGAATAATTATTCCATTCCCTCTTTATTTTGTTCTGCGAACCAAACATGTCGTAATTGTTTGCAATGGGTTAACTAGTACTAAAAAACACAATTCCACAACTTCTTATTTCTCATTACACTTAACATTTCGTTTTTACCAATTCAAAGTTAAGTTGTCATTATTGACGTCTAATAATAATGATGTTTTAAACCAATTCTACTTATACTTCTTACCCAATGCCTTGGTAATAATTGGTAAGACGATTTGCCGCGTCATAGTAAATATCAGAAAAGGTATAGCAATTTCCACGCTTGAGAACAATGCCCAAATAAATCACGTTTTAGGCAAATCTACTTACTTACCATTGTAAAATTACCATACATGCTTTAGAGAATGTAGCCTCCTCATCGCAAGGCAAGGAAATAGCCAGCATTGCTTGTACGCAAACCAAAAACCATTAGAGAACCTTTCAGCCAATTTGATTCTTGGTTTACAGTAGCTAAGCTATTAATTCATACTTGATAGTTGAATTTAAGATGCAAGTTTGTTTCTTGGAAGCCTAACTAATTGCACCACCTCTAAAGGTAAAACCACCCTGATGTGCAAGTGATTCAACTTGCATCCAAAATATCCTTCTAGCATAACAAACAATATGAATAAAATAGAACAAACCTTTTAGTCCTTTTATCATGTCCAGAAACTCTTCCAATGGATTTCCAATGAGCAATTATAGGCTTACTAGTACATCTTGACACATTAGACACTTTAAAGTTGTGTTAAAAATTAAGCTATCTTGAACAAATTTATATTACGCCATTTTGAAACTTTTATTTATTTTGTTTCTTGATGCTTCACAAAACAAACAATCCCACCATGTGTAAAGATCTATTCTTTTATTAACCAATATCCTTTTAGTTCAATTATCAAGGACATCTTCTTTCTTCCTTTTCTTTTGGAAGAAATCAAGGATATATTCTACGAAATTATCATAGTTCAATTTTTGTTTTCTTTCGACAAGGAATCCCCCCCACTATTTGACAAAAAGTTAATAGCATATGTGAAACTACTTGATACTTTCTTTTCTCACCATAAAAGTTACAAAAACTTCTACATCAACTTAAGAGCACATCGGAATGTATATTATATTAAAACTTTGAATCATTTAAAAAGTAACTCGTTTCACAAAATGATATCATGTTATGCCCTCCAATCAAGTAATGTGATGAATAAATGATATAAGTGCATAATTCACACTATGAACCATATATTTCCACTATTTTGATTAAATCATATCCACCAATTATATCAATCAAAGATCATGATGTGATCCAAATATATAAGCTCATGTTACCACCCAAAATAAAAAATAATCGTGATGTAACCAAACAAAAAAAGTACAACTTTTCACAATCAAAACTTGGCTCCACGCTATGCCTATCATAAGCCAATCCTCATGCTACCCACATAATGCCACATCCCACAAAAAATAGTAGAAAATTGATAAGGTTCCATATCTGCTTGTGGTGGAATTGTTGGGTGGAAATAATATCCTTAATTAGGATATTGAAAAACTAGTGCTTGAATCCTATACTAACTCCTTGGTAAGGAATCTAGGATTACCTTGAGAAGATGATGAAGAACCTTGTTTAGGTTGCTTCTTTTTAATTGTCACCCATTATCCATGTTGTTCATAGCATTGCTGTTTCCATTTGTTTTTAGAAGGAACTGAATCTATTTGACGAGAAATTGAGGATTCGGCTTCAATTTTTACTTTAATTTCTTCTTTATTTTCTATTCTGGACATCTAAATTAATCATCTATCTCTATATTAGAGATTTCTCTTGGTATCTTGTTCAAATCCAAGATGGCGGTATCCATACCATACAAGATCAAATTCTCCTGTATTTTTAATCTAGAAGAATAAGGGTCGAACCTGGAGAATATCCAAGAAGGATAAAGATCCAAAAGAGATAAGATCAAGAAAAGCAATGGTCTCAAAGTCCTCTGAAAAGCATACTCCGTTCAAAGTCATGCAAAAAGCATATTTGACTTCCAAGACCATATTCCTTAGTAAAAAGCATATTTCAAGAAGATAAGAAGCAAGACCATATGAAAAATAGATTCTTTCTTATCCTCAAAAAGATAAGAATCGGTTAAAATTTTGTTCTATAAATAGGTATTTAGATTCGTAAAGGGCATTAAATTTCCTATAAAATTTCCTTTATTTTTATCTTATCTCTTGATATCTCTTTTTTAAGGAAAATAGTTCTTTTTTAAAAGTAACATAATTTATTTCATTTGGTTTGAACTTTCCTAAATTATAGCCACAAATTAATTCTTTTTCTTGTGTTTTGGCTTTCATAACATATCCCCAATGTTTATTAGAAGCATCAATTTCTAGCATAAGCATCAATTTCTAGCATTAGATACCCAATGTTTATTAGAAGCATCAGTTTCTAGCATTAGATTCTCCTAGTTTCGGGAGAAAAACCGTAGGAATTTCTTTTAATTATGATTTTATTTGTTTAATAACTTTGATAGCACTTATAATAGGAGAAAGGAAGATTTACAAAAAAAGAAGAGATTCCAAGAGAAAAGATAGAAAGTGAGGAAATTTGATAGGAAATTCAGTATCCTTTACATATCTAAATACCTTATATAAATCAAATTTTTAGTCAATTCCTTATCAAGATAAAAAAGAATATGTTTTTTGGATGGTCATGCTTCTTATATTTTTGGAATATGCTTTTAAAAACTGTCATAATGATACCTAAATGTATGTATCTCACATGTAATATTTTGCTCAATTTTTCTATTTTTTTTAGTAAAAAGGAATATTTTTACCAATCCTTCTTAAGAGTTTTCTACAATGGTGTTTTCACTAAATCTCTCTATATGTCAAATCATCCAAGGGGGTAAATTTTATATTAAAATTTTTTTATATTGAACGAGATGTAAAATAAAGAAAGAAAACTTACAATATAGATATGGCAAGAACTTCAATTGAAAATAAATATTTTGTTAAGCAATTAGAAAATTTTACAAAGTTTGTAGCCAAAATTCTTCTTGAATTAAAACACTAATACCATTTACGATTAAACCCAACTAATTACTAAGTTTGATTGAATTCCTCCTATTAGGGGTTTAATAGGCTCATCAAATCTTTTATCAATCAATATTGTAATAATTGGGACATCATTTCCTGCCTTAAATAATGCTTTTATAACTATTGCAATGAAATATTCATCAAAGATTAAATCATGAAAATTTTTCTATAAATATTTTCAATTAAAATATTTTTCAATTTAAAACAAAGATGCTAAACAGATATATAAGTTTCAAAGTGATAAAACGAAATTAAACCTTGATTATAGAAATTTTTTACGGGCTCTTGTTGTGGTTTCAATAGTTATTCAGTTTTCTAAATGATCTCATAACAAGAAACTAGTGAAAATTTTAGATCGTAAGACCATTGAGAAAATTGATAGGGTCAATAACTGCTTGTGGCAGAATTGCTGAGTAGAAATTAAAATATTTTTCAATTTAAAACAGAAAAAGTAAATAGATATATGGGTCTTAAGATAATAAAATGAAATTAAAAGAGATATACTATAAAGAAAAAACTTACAATATAGATACAGCATGAACTCCCATTGAAAATCAATATTCTGTTAAGCGATTCCACCACATTCTGTGAATATTTTGAAAAATATTAATAGACAATTTTCTTGATTTAATCTTTCATGGATATTTTATTCGTGCAAAAGATGTTATCATTAATTTAGCAAAACACGCTAAATACTATAGTAAATTTGATTGTAAGTCAAGTTTCTGGCAAATTATGCTAACTGATGAGTCAAAACCGTTGACTGCAATCGGCACTCCAAAAGGACATTACCAATGGAATGCAATGCCATTTGGAATATGTAATGCTCCACAAATATTTCAAAGATGAATGGATTCTATATTCGGAAAATATAAAGATTTTGGTGTCATTTATATTGATGATATATTAATTTTTTCTCAATCTTTAGATAAGCATAGGAAACATCTAAATCTCATAGTTAAAGAATTTATAAAAAATGATATAATTTCTTATGTCAATATAATTTTTCTATTGAACATATTAAAGGTACTAACAATATTTTTGATGATTTATTGAGCAGACCAGATACGTGACCCTCCTAAAAACAAAGGGAAACAACAACTCTCTAAACAACAAGGGAATGAGTGACAATTAAAGAGAATTAAAAAGATCTGGGACATCATATGTATTAATAGATATGACAATTAAAAAGAATTGGGACATCATATGTATTAATAGGATACATATATAATCATATTAATATTGCAAAACACTAGAGAATATATAGATAATCTAGGAAATAGAATTTATTTGCTATTAAACCGATCGTAGAACATTGTTTAAAAACAAAAGCAACCAAGCAAGTAAAGAGCAAATTAAACAATAGACAATGTACAAAAAAATTACATAATGAAAGGGAGTTTGGTTGTAAACAACAACCAATAGTGTATCCAAACATAGCCGTTATAAGAAAAATAGAACATACAAGCTTATTAAATGGAAGACTATAAAGCATATTTGATAAGAAAAAGAAATTTGTTAGAAAAAAAAACTTCTAAAAAAAGAAAAACAAAGTGTAAATGTTTTATTTGTGATGAAGAGGGTTATATAGTACCTAATTGTCCTAATAAAGGAAAAAATGCCAATCAAATGATAAGAACTCTCGAAGAATGAGATTTAGAAATTTGTTTTGGAGAAGAAATATCTAACAAGGAAATAAATTATGAGTTAGTTTCGGAAAATAATTCCTACTCAAATGAAGAATATATTTTCATGCTAAATAATATCATAGCGAATATTCATGAAACAACTACAAAAGAACAACAGATGACAAAACTTGGAGATGTGTGAGGAGAACTCCATATTTCAGATGAGCAATTAGAAAAATTGCAAACCATTAAAAAGGATAAGGTTTACAAAATCTCAAATTTTACCCTTGGATGAGTAGACATATAGAGAAATTTAGTGAAAACATCACTGCAAAAACCCTCTAGAGAAGTATTGGTAAAAACACCCCTTTTTACTAAAGAAAAAATTAGAAGAATTAAGTGAAAAATCCACAACTGAGATACATACATTTAGGTATCATTATGATAGTTATCAAAGCATTATATAGGGCAGGAATTGATGTCCCAATTCTTGCATTGTTGATTGATGAAAGAAAGAAGAGATGAACAACCTTCTTGATATCTATGAATATTTTGATGAACAATCAATTCATCCAATTTTGGTAAAATTACAGAAAATTTTACTTTTTGAAAAAGCTCAAAAGGTTTTACCCATTGAGACTTTTTCAATTATTTTGAAAAATATTAATATACAAAATGAATTTATGTACAAGAGGGATATTTTATTTCATGGATATTTACTAGACAAAATATCCAAGTTTTTCTCTGATAAAGGTAAAAGAAGAGTAGGTGCAATCTCTAATCCAGAGATAGATAATCAATTTAAATTTCCAAAAATAGAAAATAGAGAAGGAATTAAAGTAAAAACTGAAGCTGAATCCTCAATCTACAGTTTCTCTTATGGAAAAAAGCCACGGAAATACTCTCAGAGATACGCACCAGTACATCACATACAGATGGGAGAAGAATTTCTGTAAAAGCATTATATTCCTACTCCTGAGCCATCTGATCCCAATGCCATCATACTTTGAGAAAAAAATCTAAAATGGAAGATTTAGATATCGAAGAAGACCTTCTTCAAATCCAAGAGAGATGGTATCAGTACAATAATACAGGATCAAATTCTCCCCTATCTTTTAATCCAAAGATGAAGAAGTGTTGAATCTGGAGGACAACCCGACACTTTAATACCAATGCTCCAAAATAAATCTAATTTTGGTTATAGAAAATCAATTAAGCACATTCCCCACCTAGAACATTCAAATTGCAACACTTGACCTCGACCCAATATTGTTGAACAAACACAAGTTTCACATTTTTATTAAAACGAAATTAATTTTAATTTTCGATAACTAAAAAAAAATTTGTCCAGCAACGTATACTTAGCACTTGTGTCAACTATTTTACACACTTTAAAGGACTGTTTCTTTTCAATGCAGAACAAAGTCACCCACCAACAATCCAGATCATCAACACTAACAACAAGATGAAAGACTTATTTTTTAAGTCTAAGTATACGTGAATCAGTAAATGTAAACAAACATTAAAAAAAATTAACCAAAACAAAACCAATCATGAAAGGTGTTAAAAGGGGTTACTTGGAACCATATTTTAAGGTAGAAAGCAGTGCAGGAGTGGCCAGCGGCATGGAGGAGACAAAGAGCGACGCTGCTATCGACGCCACCGCTAAGGAGAACCGCAACCTTAAGGCATTTATCAGGCATACAGCAGGAGAGAAAGCGCGGGTCAAGATTAACATTATTGAAAGTTGCAGCACTGTTGAGTGATAAAACAGGTTTATGGGGAAGAGAAGAAGAAGAGCTTGGGAGAGTTTGGGGCAGTGAAGCAGAGAGAAAAGGCGTGGGTTTTGACAGGGAAGGAAATGAGAGGAACGAAGCGAGATGATCGGCATTAGCCTGGGTTTGAGTCTCAACATTTTTGGTTGAAGTGATGAATTTTGGGATGCTTCGGAGGGGATCAGACATAAGAGAAGGGTTTTCTTTTTTATGTTTTTTTCAGATGAACAAAAATGCTAAGCCGGGCCCTTAAGGCTTTGGCCGTATGGGTTGCAATATCAAACCACTGCTCGAGCCTAGCCCAAGTAGGTAAATAAAAAATAAGTCTCTACCTATTTATATATTATTTTAACATTTTTATTTTAATAAATTCAAAGAAAAACAAGAAAGAATAAGAAAAAAATAATTTAATTTTATCCCTTGAATTTATGAAAATTAATGATTAAAAATATATGTAACACTAAAAAAGTTTTACACTTTATAAATTTTTTCATTTTCTTAACTAAATATATAATTAATTAATTAAATGATAATTAATCCAAAAAAAAAAAACTGCTTTTAGTTATTAAAAATACAAAATTTTTACTTGTAAATATTCATAAATACTTATTATTATTAATAATATACTAATTAATTATGATTTTCATCTAAAGAGTAAGTTTTATTTAATCTTGATTGAATTTTTTTTTTTTTTAAGATTTCAAATGTCAAATATTTTGAAAGCACATAATATACACACTTCTACATCATATTTTTAATAGAACCATGTCAAGTTTTTTTTCATCCAAATCAAGTTTGAATGCACCAAAATAATAGTATGAAGCTTAAATACACTAAACCAAGGAGTAAGAGCTTAAATAAACTAGCATTCTATTATTGAAAAAAAATTACAAGATTAATCACTTCAAATTAATAGAAAAAATAGGTCGCATAAAAATAATATATTGTAATAGTTTTAGCGATTACTAGATGAATTATAAAAATTTTAATATGGGAATTCATCACTAATTTTTTTTACTAGGTATGATTGGTTATTAAAATTTATTTTTTTAATAAAATCTTAAAGTTAATTAAATTTATTAAAAAGATGATTTTTGGTCCACGAAAAATAAAATTAAGTTCAGAAATACTATTACACATAAGAAAATATTAGCACTCCTACAACATCTATTTTAAAAATAATACCAATTAACTATGTGTTATCCCTTAAAATTAATGAAAGTGGTCTTACTTTTAATATTTTAAAAAATAATTTCCTTAATTTTTATTATTACAATAAAAAAATTTTAAATCTTTTGCTTGAAAAATAAATAAGAACATTTTATATTAAAAAATTTTGAAAATTATTCAATGCTTTGGCAATGTTATTAGGAACCTTCTCACCTAATGATCTCGTAAAAATCACTAATCAATCTTTTCGAGAATCACATTTTTGACAATTCCATTTATTCTAAAAATTGATATTTATACAAATACAATACAAATAGTAAAATCTTGTGCTCATAATTTAATTTAAACAATATTTTATTTTCTTTATCTTTTATAAAAACTCATCTTTTTAATTTTTAATAAAAAATTTATTAAAAATGATCATAAATATTCTAATACTTAAGTAGTATTTCAAAAAAAAATTTTATTTAGAGATTTCTTAAAAATTATTCCTCGAACTTCCTTAAAATCTTATTCTCAACAATTCATGTTTTTTTTTATTATTAATAATTTACCCTATATGTTAGGTATGGGTGATCTATTTAAAAACAATGGTGATATGCACTCAGTAATTACATCATTTTATTTAGTAATAATTTAAAAATCCTATGTGGCAATGATCTTCAATCATTGATGTGATAAGATTACTATCTTGAATAGCGATCTGATTCTCAACCTAAAAGAAGAAGAAGTTTTATCAACATAGAAAATTAATTTTCAATATTATTTTTGAACTAATTTGCACTCACCAAAAATATAGTTAACATTACTCCAAGAAGTTGGTCACTAAAAATTTTAAAAAACCAATTTTTTAATGACTTATTCTAAAAAAAGTTTTATATTATAAATTTATATTGATTAGAAAGAAGATAATGAATTTATTTAATAATATTTTTAGAAATTATTTTTATGAAAAATGATCTAAACTTTGTAATTTTCTATAAAATAACGTTTAACTATTTTATAAATTGTTGATTCAATAAGTATTAAATATTTACTTTTTTGTAAAGTTATTTTGAATATTTTGTACTATATAATTTGCTTTTCATGTAATACTAAACACATTGATTAAAAATACCAGTAATTTATAATATTGTATCAAACACGGTAATCTAATATCACTAGTGATCAAATCACCTTAGTGATCTGATTACCATGATAATTAGATCATCGTATTGATTTTAAAAATGATACCAAGTGCTACCTAAAAGTTATATAATAATACAATTATTCATAAATTAATTTATTTCTTAAAAAATGTATATTTTTATAAATATTTTATATTTTTATTTCTTTTAAAAATTATTGAAAAGAAAAAAGAAAGAAATATTGAAAAGAGTTCTAAATATTTCAATACTTTGGTAATTTTTAGAAAACTTTTCTTACTTAGAGAGTTCTCAAGAATCGCTACTCGAACTTCCTAGGGTTTCATCATTAAAAAATCTTTATTTTCTTTAAACATTTAATAATAATAATTCTAAAAAATATATAATTATCCAAAATATTTATTTTCATAAGTATTATTAATTATTTCAAAGCATACATGTTTTATAAAAATATTATTAACATGAATAATATAAAAACATTTAAATGAGAAGCCCAAAAAATGTAGAAACTATACCCAAATAAAGCTTTGGCGTAAGCCCAAAGTTTTATCTCTACCAAGCCTAAGCACTTCAAGTCCAACTACCATAAAAAATGGACTTAGGTAGATTGGGTTGCTGAAACGGGTCAGCTAGCAAGTGCAGGCCATGGGTCGAGTTGGATTAGTCGACCCAAATCGGTAGCAACTTCTTTCTTTTTTTTATTATACTTTTTTTTTTCAAACAATGTGTTTAGCACCTAAGTAAAATACCAAAACAAATATTATTTTTATCCTTTCCTCAAAAGGTGCATTTGGCATTTAAATAAAATGCCAATCACTTGTTTTTCCTTTTTTTTTTTCTCTTAAAAGCTCTTTCTCTCTCTAACTCTCCCAATTCTCTCATAAACCTAGCCAACAACCCTTTTATTTTCAAAATTTAGTGCTAGTGCTGATGTCATTTCCATTGACTACCGTTGTAAGCCACCTTCAGCTAGTTTTAAAAATTTTTTTAATTTTTTTTATTCCTTTTTCCTTACTCTTTTCATTTTTCCAATTAGATTTCTACAAAAAAAAAATTTAGATTTGCCCAAATTTACGTTAAAAACTGATAATTCTACTAAAAAAATTCTCTTTTAGCCACTTCAATCACCACTGTTACCAACCATGTCCTTTATCCTTTCTCTTTTATAAGACTATTCTTTTCACTAAGTTTTAAGATATAAAGCTCTTGAAAAATCCTAAGCCCAAAACCCATTCCTAGATCGAAATCCTCCATTAAATTGCCTCTCTTTTTTTTTGACTATTTTTTTCTTTATTGCTACTTCTCCCCACTTCAAGAGATGTGTTTGATTTTTTTTTTTATTTTTAGGTGGGGGTTTTGATAAGGGTAAGTTTCAAGTAGTAGGATTTTTTGGTGGGTTTGAATTTTTAAGAATTTAGGGTGATTTATGTGTGGTTTGTGATGGTTATTGTATGAGAGATTTTGGGTTTTGTTGGTGCGAGATTGGGGCTATAAAAGGTGGTTATTGAATTGGTTATGGGTAGAGCTGGTATTGTTGTAGTGGTGGTTGGTGTTTGTGAGGGCAATGTTATAAAAATTAGGTAGTGTTTTTGGAGGTGGACTAGGGTGTTTTGGTTCTGCAAGAATGATGGTGGGTTGATTTGGCTGTGAATTATGAATGAGAATGGGTTTTTGGTTTTCAATGATAGGATGGCTTTAGGTTTTGGTGGTATGATCTTGGTAGAGTTTGGTGACAAAGGGGTTGGTAATGATTGGTTTTGAATGTCAAAATGAAGGAAAGTAGGCTAAGGTATGGTGGTTAAAGAGGGATCATAAGCCTCTGGCTTATGAAGTCTTGGCTAGGTAATAGACACTTAAGATTTTTTTTTTTGTGAAAAAGCTCGTTGTAAAGTGTTTTTTTCCTTGAAAAGTATACTGCCAAATTTTGGCTTGTTGTTACAATAGTTTGGGGTTTGGAGCTTTTGATCAGTGTTATGCTGGGGTCAAAGGATAAAGCATAACATGAATAATTGAAGGTTGAAAATGGTGCAAAATGAATAGACCTAGAAGGAGTGTCATAATGGTTTTAGAGACTAATAGACAAATTTAAAAAAAAAAAGAGTTATCACTAATTTTTTTTACTAGGTATGATTGATTACCTAAAAAGACTTATCCTTTGAATAATATTTTAAAATTAATTAAAATTTATTAAACAGATAATTTTGGGTCTATGAAAATAATTTTGGGTTTAGGAATATGGTTACACGTGAGAAAATATTAACACTTCCATTGCGCCCATTTTAAAAAAATGATACAAATTAATTATATGTTATCATTTAATCTTGTAAAAAATGGTTTTAATTTTTATATTTAAAGTTAATTTCCTTAAATCCATTTTTATTTGTCATTGTTTTGGTTTTTTTATTTTCTTTTACAAGATTTCATCTTTTTATTTTTTAATTATTATTCCAATTTTACCTTAAAAAAATTAAAACTTTGTTATTGAAAAACTTCTTAAAATGTCTAGTACGTTAGTAATATAGAAAGAAATTTTCTCACCTAGAGATTTTTTAGAAATCACTACTCGAATTTTCTTAAAATCTCATCTTCAGAGGTTCGCATCAATTTTTCCATGATTAAGTGACGTACATGCAATGCAAATAATCAAACATAATATTCATGCATTGGCAAGCACACTTTATTTGCGTATTTATATTTTATTTTATTTTATTTTCATTTATTTATTTTTGATAAATTATTTTTCTCATTTTTTAGAAATATTTATTTATTTTTTTCTTTTTTATACATTTTTTTGCTTTATTATATAAAAGAAAAAGGAAATTTTTATTATTGAAAATTTTTTATAAATACTACAATAAGCTGATAATATTTTTA